ATTATGTTAGGACTTAGGAGTCTGAACCCTGAACTTGACACCCATGATTTGTTTTATCTCAAAATATATTATTTCCCCAAATGAGATAGTTCCTAATATCACTAGGAGCGAGTTGATGAAGTGATCTCGAGAATGGATCAAGAAAATTTTGATGCTCCTCCAACCAATCCTACGCGAACCGGTTATAGGTATTTGAATCTAGCCTTGCGGTTGGGGCTGCCGAGCCCAATAAAACAGGCTCTCAAAAGAGAGCTTTCTCACCCGGCTCAACAATAAAAATCCTGGGGGAGGACCCTACTGGGACCATGACCATCCAAAATACTACTCTCCTCCGTTTCAGTTTATGTAAATCTATTTTCTTTTTTGTCCGTTTCAAAAAGAATGACTTCTTTTTAAATTTGAAAACAATTTAGCTTAAACTTATAATTCTATCCTTAATGAGAAGCTTTTATAACCACACAAATACTCTGAGCCACATTTTGACTTGTTTAAAACCACAAATTCTAAAAGTCTTCATTCTTTTCTTAAATTATGTGCTCAGTCAAACATGTTCACATAAATTAAAACTGAGGGAGTAATTGTTATAAACCTGTGTTCCTAAATAATTTCTGCAAAAAATAAAACAAACAGAAGCAGAAATAGAATAGAAACAAAATAAATAAAGTTCTGAGCCCAACAAAAAACTGTGTTTCTTTAAGGAATTTAATCCCCTTACTGTTGCCCAAGGTTGTTGGATTAATTCCTCCCAGTATAGAATGGAACAACTATTCTGTAATACCGGTAATGAAAATTATAGAATTTCGTCGAACTCAACAAACGGTAGTAAACCACACTGATGCTTACGTTTTGCTTGTTGGAAAACAATGCAGAAATGCAGAAGAGAGAGGGGAGAGTATGCAGATTTCGGTGCTGAAAAATGAGGCAAAACCTTTGAATTTATAGCCAAACAATCTGGGTTGAATAGGTGCGAAGGTACATATTCATATGAGGTACCATTACGGCAGAAGTCTTGTCGCGAATTTTAAACTCAAAACGACTCTACGAAAAATATTAGAAAAGAAATATATAGAGGAAAACGGAAAATAAATTTGGTCCAAAATATTATCAATCATATCAATTGACCGATTTCGAATCCGAATCACCGAGCGAGTGAGCGACGGCGCGAGGCACCACTTCTTCTTAACTCTTTAAGAGCTAGAAAATGTGCTTATGTATATAAGTACAAAGATTTTTTTTGCATTTTTCGACGAGGGATAAAATGCATTAGTAAAGGAAACAACTTCAAACTTTTCATTTCCCTTCAAATTTTTCCCTCCAATTTTCCATTCAAACCTCTTATCTAATTAGATAAAAACCCAACACTAGTATGGTTTTAGATGGAGCATTTTGCAATTATTTTATGGATGAAAGCATGAAGTATCAGTTTCATATCCTTATCAATGAAATTATAATAACTTGGGACCAGATGGCTGTTGAATATTGGTAGTACAGCACATAGATGGCTAATCAATTTTTGTCTATTTTGGATGAGATCATTTAACAATTCCCTGCTTTTTAATACATATAATCATGTCTTTGCCAAAGAAGGGCATAGCACTAATTGAGAGTATTCATTGTGGGTCTAGGAATTGAAAACTAAGGCTATATATGTGCTCAGCAAAAGGAAATTACTCATTTTGTAGGTTCGCCTGTTAGTTAGGCCCTGAGACTTTTTCCCCACATTGCTTTTGTCAGGGGGTTGACAAATAAATGTGATTAGAGATCTCAACTCTTAAAGCAAAGCTTATAATAAATAATATAAGACTCGTAATAGCATATGCCTTTGTGCAAGGGGAATCCAAGGAGTTCTTTTCGGCTACTCAACAAAATACTTCCATGCTTCCTAAAGTCATAGGAGTCACAACCTATATCTAAAGGTGTATTTATGTACATGCGGATCTAGGATTTAAATTTTTTGGGTTCAGATTCGTAATTCTATCACATCTTTTCTAATTTAATGGGTTTAAAATTTATTATTTGTATATATTTTAATAATTTTTTTGAGCAGAAATACAAGGTATGAGCGAAAACTATAGATTCAGTTGAATACATAACTTCTACACTAGATACACCTTCGATTCATTATTTGATATTTAATGGATTCCATTAATTTTAAGTTAATATATAATAATAATAATAATAATAATAATAATAATAATTGAATTCATATTCGCATATTTATAAATATTTAATATATTTTGTAATGTACGTATATAAAAAAAATTTAACAAAAATATTAAGTTTAAGTGAACTCACCTATTACGTTGTGAATCTGCTAGTGCCTGACAAGTAAGACTTGCTTAGTTGGTAAAAACACCTTCACCCACGACCGTTAGATTTTGGGTTCGAGTCACGCGGAGAAAAGTGTAAAAATACTATATATCCTCCTAATTCGGGAAGTTTTTTTAAAAAAAAATAAAAAATAAAAAATCTGCCAGTGCCCCCAACTTTTTGTTGGGGTGGGCCGGTGGGGTGAGAGAGAATAATTCCGTTGTTCGAAATTTCCAAGAAGGTGCCATGTCATCCTCCGTTTTTTTTCTTATTAGTCGTTATACTATAACTTGCATAATGTTTTCAATCTCTATCGTTTCTTTTCACTTTGAAGTGTTTCAATTATTTGACATATTCGAAAATAATATTATTGTATTGAATTTGTACTACTTTCAATAATTCATATTCATTTAACTATTATACAAGTTTTAGATTTTAATGTGATGTTTTATCTATGAAATTAACGTTGTAATCGTTCCTTTAATGAGAGATCTTTTTTTTTTGGGGGGGGGGAGGGGTATATTTTTGTTTTAATCACATGCCGTCATGTTTAGTCAAACATGGTATGATCTTGATTCAGATCTAAATTATAAATTTGCTATAATGTTGAATTAAAGCCTTTGGCTTGCAATATGAGGACAAACTATAATAGTACTCCCTCCGGTGTATTTTTTGGTTATTTTCACATATATTAAGAAATTCACTTTTTAACATTAATTAGCAATGAAATTGATCATATTAACTTTTACTATCTCTTCACATAAACACTCATAACACATATTCCAACATTATTTACTCCAAGGGCAGTGTAGAAAAAAATAATTAATTCATTCTTAAAATCTGAAAAAATTACTTATTTTGAATCATAAAAAAAGCGAAAAAATTACTTATTATGGACCGGGAGAGTATTACATTGTTTAAAGAATACCTTGCACCACAAAACTGAATCGGGTAACATACTTTATTTTAAATTTCTTTTCCCATTTTTTCTAGTTTAATTAATAGGGATTATCCAACTTCCAAGGTAGTCGTTCACCATATTGACTTTGGATAGTTGGGGTGGGTGAGTTAAGTTTGGTACACTAATCAATATGACTTTATTTCACATTAGTAATTACGGATTCGGGAAGATTTAGTAACTTTGACTTAAATTTTATATTTGTTTTAAAATTTTATTTAATAAGTATTTATTTAGAACCTAATAAACAAAAAAAATATGATTCAGAATCTATAAACTAAAAATTCTGGCTCGTCTCAACTCCGTTTGAATTTCACAAAATGGGACATGAAAATAATTTAAGGGTGGATGAGTTATTTAAATGTAATATTATTAAAATTGCATTATTCTTTGATTATTTTTAGTTTCTTATAGCTTATAAAAATTTGGAGAGATGTTTTGCCAGATAATGAAGAAGAATCGTCAAATAAGATAGGGAGCTCCTTATTTTGTCCTAACAGTTCAACTAGGGTCCATGGTATCCTCTGCACCAATTAGTTTTTTTTTTTTTGGCTCTAATTAACTTATATATAACAAGGGTAAAGCAAGGAGCGGCTCAAACAAAAAGAAAGATATTGAATTGGAGTTTTATGTGACTTTATACATTTTAGATAGCTAACCACTTGGCAAATACCTTGATTGGTCCAATTATTGTCGCAACTTTTAGGTACTCTTAATTTTCAAGCTAAATTCTATTTTTTTTATAACAGTGATGGTTGAGTTAACTTGCATACAATTTAATTATTTTATCTCGTACATATTAACTCTTATAGTATTATATATAAGTATTGAGTAATTTTTCCTTTAATGTCTTGACAAATGTGAAAAAATTATATCTCAAATTTTATCCCTACTAGAATTTAAACTCTAATTTTGTGGAGAACGAGGGAACTCTTATTGTCTTTGGCAGACTTGTATATTTTTGTAAATAATACGAGAAGTTTTCATTCATTTCATTGATCGATAGATTACACTAAAAGAATAGTGAATTATCAAAAGAATATAAGTAGAACTATAATGTTTCATGTTCTGTGTTCGATTGGACTTTCTTCTTTTGGTGGTAAGTACGTTAAAAAAAGAAGAAGTGAATTTCCATTAATTGGATATATTACTATTACGTAAGTTACGCGGTATATTGAGGAGAAAAGGACCTTTTTTCCTTCTTTTTTTGTTTGTTTGGGCAGGTCATGAATTCAACGTTTGTGTTTGCCCCTTCACACTTAAAAGGCTACAAATTAGGGGTGCATGGATCATGTTGGTTCGAATTTTATTAAAATCAAACTAAATTAATTATATCGGTTTGGATTGGTTCGATTTTGTCGGATTTTTCGAGTTTTTTGGATTTTTTGTTATATAAATATTATTTCAATCTTACATTATTAAGGTTATAGATAAAATATTAATAAATGAACCAAATCAAACCAAATCTAATCGATTTTTTTAATCGATTTGATTTGACTTTTCGATTTAGTACGATTTTCGTTTCCATTTATACACCCCTGGCTACAACTATAACAAACAACCCTTTATCAACACGCTTCTTGTAACAAAAATCCATGCTAATTAAAAGGGCCTCTTTTTGAGAAAAATCCAGAAGCAAAGTTTGGACGTCGCTTGCACGATCGCTGCTGCTGTTACTCTTGCTCTATTAAACATAAATAAAAGGGCGTCGCTAGATAACAGGTGAATTTTTCTTTCTTTTTCGATCCATTTCATCTTTTCTGTTATTTGTTTATTATACCCGTTTCCTTTACTTTGAGATTAAGCTTCGAACTTCTACCATTTTTTAATCGGCAAAACCGCGTATTCTTCAGTTTCGCTTTGTTCGTCATTTATTATAGCCACCTTTGAAGAGGCCTTTTTTTGTTTGTAATTCTTTGGGGGTTTTATATTGGATTTCGCTTCTTTATCCGCTTTTTGGGATTGGTGAATTCAGGCGCTTGTGTTTCTTTTGGGTTCTCGGAATACTGTTTTCTGTACCTCCGTTCAATAGCTTTGTTATAGCTGCTTGTCGGTTTTCACAAGAGGTAGCTTATTTAATCTTTCCTCTTTTTTTTTTTTTTGTTATTTATCTGAATTGTATTTTCTAGTAAGTCAAATCCATTAACGGTTGATACTGAATGGATATGTGATATTTCGTGATTGAAAAAAATTAGGGATACTGTTTTCTTAGTAGAGATCGTTATCATTAGTAGAGATGCTTTTTTCTTCTTATTTTTTGAATAGTTTTGTATGAATTTATATACTGAATCATCTTTTTTTTTTGTCTGGATCTTACCAATGTTATTAGTCCAGTATTAGGGTCTTTTGGCTGGCAGTGTGTGTTTCACAATTAGGTGGTACTTTAATTCCTGCTGGATAGACAAGCTTGGTGGAATGTGTTTGTCTTCTCCAGTAGCCGTGATTAGATATGGATGTAGCTGTGATTAGATATGGATTGTACCTAATATTTTAGATTAAGACTTTCGAGCTTTTCTTCTTCTTCTTTTTTTTCATCAACAAAAAAGGAAAAGGAAAAGTTATCATCAATATCCAGAGAACAAGTAGATTGATAAGTGCGATTACCTTCCTGCTTCCTGGCTTTTTGGGCCTTTCCTCCATTTAAGATAGAGAAATTATTAGAGAGGAAACATATAAGTTTCTCGCTTGTTTCTTTTTGTGATGAACCATACTTTGGAACTTGAAACGCCCTATATTAAGGTTTGTCATTCCCATATATTTCTCATTCTGGCAGTAGACTAGCAATTTCTTCCTAGTTAAACCTAGCGGAAAATGTAACATTTAATTTCGATAGATCATGGCCCCATAATCTTGTCTGTTACAATCTTGTAGCAATTGAAGACTCAAGCTTATCACTGAGTTTTTGGTCATGACCCCATATATTTCTCACTTTGAGGACTTCCTATTCCAAATTATCCAAATAATAGTTTGAGTGCACTTCTTGAATTTTGTAATCCAATGCTTTAGTATGTTTGAAATTATTTTTTCCTGCTCTTAATCAGGGGTTTAACTTTTGTGTAGTCCATGATGTATTTTACAGCTAACCTAATGTATTTTTTCTTCATGTTTACATCTGTTCATGGTTCCAGGGTTTTGGAATTTTGAACTTTGATGGCTGAGGATAATATCGATGAGCTTGTGAGTCCAGTAACTAGTGTGAAGAATGACTCTGCGGCTGAGGATAACATCGATGAACGTGTGAGTCCGGTAACTACTGTGAACAATGACTCTGTGGCTGAGGATAACACCGATGACCTAGTGACTCCAGTAACTAGTGTGAAGTATGACTCTGCTGAAAATAAGCCAGATAAAATACGCACAAGAAAATCAAGTTCTTTGAGTAATGGACACAGGGTTCTTCCCTGCTATCGCAAATCCTCCTCTACTTCATCTTATGATGGAGGCAATACAAGAAGACAATCCACTGGGAAGTTGGATTCTCCTGACAGCGGGCAAGATGTTCTTCCTCATTATATGAGAGCTTCTACTGGTTCTTGCCATGACTTCTGTAAATATGGCAGGAAACATTCCTCTGAAGCAAAGCCATGGCATCCTCTATCAAAAAGAAAGAACAAACTTCTTGCTGATGAGCAGAGTCCTACACAGACAATGGTGGGAGAGGCAAAGAAGGGGACTGCGGTCAAGCAAAAGCCTTCCACTACTACAGGAAGTATAGTGGGAGAGAAAAAGAAGATGACTGGAGCTGCGCAAAAGCCTTCCACCCCTCCAGGGAGTATGCTGGGAGAGGCAAAGGAGGGGACAGTGGTCAAACAAAATTTTTCCACTACTTCAGGGAGTACCCTGGGACAGGCGGCCAAAAGAACTTCAGTCAAGCAAAAGCCTTCCACTCCTCCAGGGTGTATGCTGGAAGAGGGAAAGAAGGTGAGACTGGAGAGTATATTGGGAGATGGAAAAAATGTGGCTGTGGTTGAACAAAAGCTTTTTTCTCCTCCAGGGAGCATGCTGGGAGGGGGAGATGAAGTGACTGTGGTCAATCAAGAGCCTTCTCCTCCTCCGGAGAGTGTGATGGGAGAGGAAAAGAAGGTAACCATGCTTGAGCAAATTCCTTCAGCTTCTCCGGAGAGTATGCTGGAAGAGGGAGAGAAGGTGACTCTGGTTGAGCAAAAGCTTTCTACTCCTCCAGGGGTTATGTTGGAAGAGGGAATGAAGGCGACTGCAGTAAATCAAAAGCCTTCCGCTCCGCCAGGGAGTATGCTTGGACAGGGAAAGAAGTTGAATGTGGTGAATCGAAGGACTTCTTCCAAGGTTCACTCTCTTGAACCCTCTGAAATAATAAAGAAAAAAGCACCGCTGCCACCAAAGAGTATTCACTCTGTGAAACTGGATTCGTCAAGTAACAAGACACCAAAGACAGAAAAGAAAATGAAATACATTTTGGCAAAGCATTCTCCTCTTGGGCAGATAAAGCTTAAAATGGTAAAATCTTCATCTAAGATCTTAGGTGTAGATGCAGGAGGCAGAAAAGAAGATGATATCAATTCTAGAAAACAAATAATTGTGTCCAAAGTATCTGCAGAAAACTCTTTGAAGACCCCAACTGTTTCATGTTCTCCAAAATCTTCCTCTGTTAAACCTTTGATCTTGAGAGCAAGAAACAATAAAAGCTTAAAACTGCTGGCTCCCCTGAAGGACCAGAACAAGACGCGGAGAGATGGAACCAACAAACTGAATCCTGAAAAGGTTCCTGAGAAAACTTTGCATGTTACCAAGGTGAAGGCATCACTGAAGTCTTCATCTCAGTCGCAATCACGTTCGTTGTCTAATGAAAAAGATAAAAAGAAAGCTGTTGAGTCTGCAGACAGTGCATCAGATAAATACATCTCTAGCAGCAAAAAGCTGCTAAACATAGCAGAAGCAGAAACTGTCGGGAAAAATCAGAAAAAGATATTAAGAAAAGGCAAGGCAGGCGTTTCTAATGATTCCAATCCTTCAGTGGTGAAACTGAAATTCAGGAGGGGTAAGGTAGTTGATCTCCAGCTAGAAACCAGCAGCCCTAGGAGGCTGATATTTAGATGGGGACGACATATGGGGGAAAGCCAGGACAGCAAGGGTGATATAAGAAGGAGAATCTTAAAAAAGAAAGGAGTTGATGCTGACAAAAATAGTACCATCTTAAGCTCTGGAAAAATTATTTTGAGGCATCAGGATGTGCAGGAAAAAAAAGATGTGCAGGGTTTGTTGAATAATGTGATTGAAGAGACGGCGAGTAAGCTTGTTGAAACCAGGAAGAGCAAAGTTAAAGCTTTGGTGGGAGCTTTTGAGACGGTAATTTCCCGCCAAGATAAACCTTCTACAGTCACAGTTTCTTGATTTCAACAAAAATAGAATTTTATAACACATAGGAGCAATTGCAAATATAGTGGATGACACAGTTTTTCTGACCTGGTTTGAGTGAATTTCTCCGTTTCTTATTCTGACTCTTCTTCTTAACGGTTTCTTGATGGGTTGCCGGTTCTGTTCTCATGATTGAATAAATTCAGCTTCTTCTGGATGCATCTACTTTGAATTGGGAGATAAAATCATGCAACATTATAGTTTCTTTTTCGCTTATGGAGGCTGAGATAGTGGTGTTAAATCTGTGGATGTGTGGGTATACTATATTTCAATGTTGGGCTGGCTGCTCATTGAACATATATTGCTGTTGGACTTATTTTACGTGGGATTTGTTCATACTTTCTGTCGAATAAGTGTATGAAGAAGACAGAGGCATGTCAAATTACTATGCAAAGAGAGTTTTGGCTGTGGTACTGGTTTGGCATTGTGCTTGTATATTGTTTGCTATAGCCGTTCGTTTCTTGACTTCAAATATACTGTTGTTTTTTCATCCTGCCATTTCTCCTTTCCATATCAGTATTTATGCTTGAATCCTTTGAGTAGGCACATTACTAGATAGAAATGACTGGATTTATTGGATTTGAAACTGACACCGAATTGGTTAAATTGTCACTACAAAGGGATGTATACTACTTGTTAGCAAACAAATGAGTTTTGACTGCGGATGTAAAACTGCCTTCCTGATAATTTCAAGCTGAGTAGAATGCTATCTGATGAAGTGTATATGGTCTCAAATTTGAAATTATTCAAACGTGCCAATGGATCGACTAGCAAAGTGGTTTGTTATTAGCAAGTGACAAAGAGTTGCTATCAAATTTCACTTTGGGAAATTCAGATATTTATGCTCCATCTCCGCGACCTGTCTATTGGACTAAAAAACTTAACTTCGAACCAAAATAAACCAATTTGACATTCAATTCAAGGGTTGACGACTTGACGGAGTTGCCAACTTGCTATCATACTTTGCTATCAAGGGTTGGTTCGGTTTTTATTAAAATTAAACCAAACCAACTATATAGGTTTGGTTTGGATTGGTTCGATTTTGTCGGATTTTTTGGGATTTTCGGATTTTTTTGTTACATGAATAATATGTCAATCTTACTTTGTTAAATTTTTGATAATTAATACATGTTAAAAATTGAAAAAATTGACAAATATGTTATCTATTAAAATATTCTTATGGGAGAATTTTCTTAGTAGCACATGATAGTTATTTTTTTACTTGTCTGACAATTATAACTTTTCGTTGATATACACTTTCAAGGTTAACTGAATTTAATAATCAAATATAAAAATTAATATGATACCTAAATAATGATATGTTCCATTTAATTTTCAATTATCGAAATAACACTTCAAATTCGAAAAAGATATAAGAATTTAATGGATCTTGACATATGAATATGGAAGAATAAAGAGATTGACGCATTTCAATAACAATTGATAAGAAAGTGATCATACAACATATTATTTAAAGTTAATAAAAATGGAGCACTTCATATTCTATTAATTATTACATCCCATAAGAGAATCCCAAATATTTCTAGATATTTTTTAAAGAAAATTCTATATAAAGTCTTAAAAGTATATATAAAAATTATATATTTATATGTCGGTTTGGTTTGGATTTTTTTACTCAATAGCAAACTAAATCAAACCAAATTTCATCGGGTTTTTTAATCGATTTGGTTTGATTTTTCGATTTTGTGCGGTTTTCCGGTTCGATTTGTACTCTCCTGCTGCCGGTATCTCTTTCTAGAAATCAAGGCTCGTCCAACTATTGCATGCTTGTTTGATACAAATGTTGAAACACATATTAGCAACTACCAATTGAAAGGCACGGGAGAAATGGTTACTAGGAGCAAACCCTAGATACACCAAATGTGCTATTAGTATTTCCCGTTTCGTTTTATCTTTTTAAGTTCTTAAATAGTAGATGCCTGTTCCTGTTGTAATCTTTATTTTTTAAGGGCTATTATCACTTTTAGCTCGCGACAGAAACTATTTATATCTAGAGCCGAAAAAATGTATAAAACTTATATAATTTTTGTATATAACATACATAATACAAAAACTTATACATTTTTTCGACTATTATTTTTACGGTGGCTATACAATATCATTTTTTCATTTTTTAAATTGAGTGAAAGACTTCCACGATACTACTAAATTATAAGCTTTAGAAAAATGTCAAAAGTTGCTGCTGCAAATTTTTTTCCCTCCTTTAGAGAAATCCTGGATGCAAATAAGGTTAATCGGATTCAAATACTCTCCTACAAGATTATTGCCGCTTTGATTATTGCTCAAATTCAATTTTCTGTCATTGAAAGTTCAATCTAATAGGAGTAATAACATAATTATAACTTAAGTCTTAAAAAGAACAATTTAATAACTAAATGGCTACCGTTTAAACTGGTGACATGAGTAATCTTAGATCCACATAGTTCAATTGGACATTTTTTACATTGCCTTCATAATGACACTTGAAAATATTCTTTGATATGCTCTCTTGATTCGAACGTCTTTGTGGGCGACCCGGGAGTGGATAAGTAATAATAACGTGGCCTAGTTATATTTTAGTCTCACTGTCATGAAATTTCAAATTTTACAAGCTAAAAAGTGACTATTTGTGTAATTCTACGACAGTGAATATTTTCTAATAGTGGAGCTAAAATGCAAAAAATTGCAGAAATGTGATATTTTTTGTGGTGATCTTTAATTTTTGATTTCGCTTGTCGCATGGGCAGAACTTCAAGGTGAAAAATTAAAAGTGTTATTGTTTGACCAAAAAGTAAAACTTCCGGCTAAACTATTAAATCTATACTATATTAAAAGCACGAATACTCTTAGCAAAATATCATTCGTCTTTTTTGCCCTTCTATAATAGAATTCACACCGGACAAAATAGTAATTTAGTTATTTTACTAATATCTAGGAATATTCATTAATTTATTTTTCTACTCCCTCCGGTCCACAATAAGTGATTTTTTGGTTGTTTTCACACAAATTAAGAAATTCACCTTTTAACATTAATTAACAATGAAATTGACCATATTAACCTTTACTATCTCTTCACATAAACACTCCTAACACATACTCCAACACTATTTACTCCAAGGGCAATGTAGGGAAAAAATAATTAATTCATTCTTGAAATCTGAAAAAATCACTTATTTTGGACCAAATAAAAAACTAAAAAATCACTTATTGTGGATCGGAGGAAATATATAAGAATAGTCATTTAATTTTTTTCTAATCATAAATTCTTTCATTTTTCAAATTCATTTAATTTTTTTCTAATCATAAATTCTTTCATTTTTCAAATTGCATAGGCAAACACTTCCATAAAAGAGCTATCATTCCACGTTTTGATTTCCATGTCTCTTTCTTTGAATATAAAAAATATATATTTATTCATGCTCGGATTGACTTTTTAATCATGATAGGAATTACTTTCTGAGTTGTATTTAACTCTCTGGTATTTGACCAACTAGGAATATAAACTACTTAGTAACTCTGGTTGTTACTAAGCATGAAGATGTTAGAAAGAATATGCAAAAAAAGAAGAAAGAAAGGTAAAAAACCATTAATATGTCTTTTATTATTTTTTGGTAATTTATTTTGTTGACCAGCTTAAAGTTTTCTTTCGCTTAAAGTCTGGCAATACTCTTTTTTAAGCAAATCCATTACAGACAACATATATAATATAGGAGCTGTGATATGATAATTAACAAGCCATAAAATCTGCAATTGTAACCACGTTAGCGATCTTGTAAAGAAAATTTGATAACATTCTAAAATAAAGCAATAATCGGTCTCGTCAAAACACACACACAGATAGTAAAAGTAAAAGTCGTTTCTACATTATTATTGAATATATCATAGCTAGCAGTATTTTTTGTTGACAATAGTTTGGATTTTATATATAAGGCAGTTTTTATTTGATCTTTATCTTAAAATCTTCTACACTGACTTCTCAATTATTTTCTCTTAACATATATTTTTCTATTTCATGTTTTAGATTTGAAGGATTTTAAATTTGAGTTAAGTTACAAATTTTGTACAGGTTGTTTGGACCATCACATTTCATAAAAACAAATTAGTTAGAAATTCAATCTATGTCTAATTAGCTCACTATTATTTTTTCTTACGTTTGATAATTAACAATACTAATTTATTGCCAAGTTAGATTGCTTACTTTAAAATAGTTATCAACATTTAATTTTCCCCCTAATTTTGAGGAGTTTTAAATTTACTAAGTTTATAAGTGTATATATATTTTTCTTATTTTAATTGTATTGTATCTAAACTATAATGCTTTTCTTATTGCATTGGTAAACTTAAGTCCTATTCCACGTACAACTCTTGTTTCATAAGCTACAAAGCATATGAAAAGAAAGGAAAAGAGAATAAAGACGACTAGTAAACTCATATTTCAGATAGGTAAAAAGTCAAAATATTTAATGTTTTAAATTCTATTTAGATTTTACCACTTCAATTGCAATAAGCCAACAAACACATAAAATTGAACGCTAACTTAAATAGTTAAACTTACGCAAGTTGCCTTACATATATAAAATCAATTGAAATGATAGAATGACCATTAAATAATACTTACTCCCTCTGTCTCAAATTATCTGTCATATTTCTCTTTTGCATGCCCTTTAAGAAACATTAATTATGAGGGATTCTTGACTATTTTGCCCCTATTTTGAATATTTACTCTATTTATGTGCTATCTTCATTTTTAAGAACAATTACTATTAATGTTAAAATTGCAAAAGTATTATTTATTTTGCCTTGAACTTCTAAATGACAAATAATTTGAGACAATTATTTTTCAAAAATCATGACAGATAATATGAGATGGAAGGAGTAACAATTATATGATTAAATAAGGAAATATATATAAATATTGTAGTTATGTATGTAATATAGGAGTCCTAAAATAAAAGCACACTCATGTACAAATTAAAAAAAGGAATTGTCGCATATATATACCGAACAACCATTATTTTAAAGAACTTTTTTTAAAATTTTACTTTTATGATAACTCAAAAAAAAAATAGTTTAAAATGTATTTAATTTTTTTTAAAATTTTTATACTCATTAACACAAGGTACACGCGCAACGCGCGTACCCTAAAAACTAGTTTATGTAATAATGAGTTGAATCTAGTTAAAGATAAAACTCTATATGCGAATATTAAAAACGTGCGTGAGATACAAATTCAGCTAAACTTTGACAATGATAGACACAAAACGTTCATAAGGAATGAGCAATAATTGAGGTGTAACTGGTAATAAATAACAATAAATGTTATTTAAGTAAATAAGAGGAATGATTCACCCAATAAAGGATGGATTGGACGAATGTTCCTCCTGACAATGATGAATGACAGATAAATCCAAGGTTTGTTCGAACTATTCTCGGATCTGGTGGAAAAGTGTGGAATAATATGGGCAAGAATCTTGATAAAAAGGTAATCTTTGTATATT